GTGTGTGTGTGTGTGTGTGTGTGTGTGTCTTCCTTTAAATTCACTGAGATTCTTGATTTGGTGGATTTATAGTTTTAATTTAACTCAGCAATTTCCCAACTTTATTTTTAAAACATAGGGATTTCAATTATACATATGTTAAATGTCTTTATATTTTACCACAACTACTATTTTTTCTGCTCTAACTATTTTTGAAGGCAAGTTCAAATTAAACCCCCTTAAGACATGGCTTTTCTGGGTCTATGTTTTATGGCCTCCAAGATACCTGTGCAAGACCTGTTTCCTCTGGCTTAACCATTGCTCTCTGTAGACAGAAGTTTCTGTCCCTCCCAGTCCTGCAGCCGTTCAGTCCCAAATACACAGAGGCTTATATTAACTAAAAACTGCTTAGCATATTGCTCAGGCTTATTACTAACTAGCTCTTACAACCGAAATCAATCCATTATTCTTATCTTAGGCTTAGTGCCTTTTCTCAGTGCAGCATTTTCATCTTGCGTCCTCTGTATCTGGCTTGTAACTACATCTCTACCTTCCCTCTTCTGAACATTCTCCTAGTCTGGTCACCCCACCTATACTTCCTGCCTGGCTACTGGCCAATCAGTGTTTTACTAAACAATTACAAGTGACAAATCATTACAATGTACAAGAGCATTATCTCACCGCACTTCTCCTTTTTTTCTTTTCAAAACAAGAACTCTGAATCTAATCTCCTTTGTTTAGCTTTTTTCCTGACCATTATTTATAACAACTTGTAGCCAACAAAGACAAACATCCTTAATCTGTTTTTTGGGAATGTGGTTGTAGTTTTCTAGGCTACTTCCTATTAATTGGGGGTACTGATAATCTTTGAGGTATCCTGAGAAAATTTAGGATTATGGCTAAATCCTGACTGGAGTATTCTGTGAATCTGGATCACCTCCACCAGTCACTTGAAGCTGTTTTGTATATAGAACTCAGAGGAAACTGCAACAGAGGTACTCTGAGATGGATTGTCTGGGCCATCCTCTCCTATTGAAGATTTTTCAGGGAATCCTCCTTGATCAAACCTATTTTTCTTAACCCAGAGTGAATCTACAGCCTCTCATTTCCTGTGAAAATAAAATCAGAACCTTTTTCTCAAAATAACATATCTTTTGACTTAAATTTTGAAATTGAGATATTTTTAAAATATATAGGTTGGTTTAATCCAGCAGCATTTATAATCAAATGTTTTTTAGCAACTGCTATTCCTTCCTCAACAATCATATAATTCAAAGACAACACAATAACATATAGTATCCAGACTCTGTGCATTTTCCATCTTACATAGCTTTTTAAAAATTACTCTATTTTTTAAGGACTTTCTCTATCCTTTTTCTTTTCTCTCCCAAGCCTACATATGTTTTTTAGCATACTGTAAACCATTTAGAGTTTTTTAATATGAATCTATCTTTAGTGTATATTTCTATCTTTTTATGATCACATGAGTCTTTAGCCTGCTAAGCAGCATGGTTAGGACTAAAGTGGTGGCTTTGACACCTGGCTCTGCCCCATTCCTTGACTTCCTGAGAGTCTCGCTTCATGGTGGAGGTGTTGGTGGGAGCCATGTTTGTTACCACAACTCTGCAGAGTTTCTAGATCCATGCCACCAGCAAGAAGCATACCTTCAGCTGCTCATAAATAACCTTTAAGTATTTGGCAGCAGGGTCTTTTAAAAGAGCCACATGATTTTTGCCACTAATGCTAAGTAAGGAAGCCTCTCTTAAAGAAACCACACCTCGGCTTGCATCTAACAAACAGAATCCACCCAAGAAAATGCTGCTACCAAGAAGCCATGTGTGATTCTGTCCTTTTCTGTCTAGAATCCCTTCCCAAGCTCTCTCAGGTTTTATGTGGATATAATTGCCAAACGTTGGGTGCCATTTGTTGATGAAAATTTCTGTCCTGACTGGTCCTACAGCCATTCAGTACTAAATAAGCACACAGAGGCTTTTATTAATTATAAACTGTTAGGCCTATTGCTCAGGTTTATTACTAACTAGCTCTTACAATTTAAATTAACCCATAATTTATTTATTTATTTTGTTTATTTTGAGACAGAGTTTCTCTGTGTAACAGCCCTGGCTGTCCAGGAACTTGCTTTTTAGACCAGACTGGCCTTGAACTCACTGAGATCCACCTGCCTCTGCCTCCCAAGTGCTGGGATTAAATGTGTGCACCACCGCTGCCTGACAACCCATAATTTTTAACCTATGCTTAACCGTATGGATTGGTGCCTTTTCTCAATAAGGCATTCTCGTCTTGTTTCCTCTGTATCTGGCTTGCAGCTGCATCTCTGCCTTTCCTTCTCCCAACATTTTTCTAGTTTGTTCACCTCACCTACATTTCCTGCCTGGCTGCTGGCCAATCAGCCCCAGTGACAAATCTTTCCAATATACAAGATCATTATCCTACAGCAACTTTGTCTCCAGTTTCATCAGCTTTCATCAATGAGATGTCTGTCAACACGGCTGTTCAGCCAGTGAGTCACTGACCCTAGGAGAGTGTCTGGAAGTCTCCCTTCTATAGCTCCCCCACCCGTTGGCCTGAACTACCTTGCCCTCCTGACTCACTGCTCTCTCACACCAATTCAGTGTGCACGTGCCTCCCTTCCCCTTCCTCCCTATCCTTCCTCTTCCTGCTGTCCCTCCATCTCACCCTCTCACCTCCCTCCCTTTTTCTCAAGCTCCTCAGACCTCCCTTCCTCCCTCACCTTTCCCCCTGCTCTTTTTCCCTCTCCCCTCACATCTTCAGACAGAACACTGAGTTCATAGAAACTCATCTCTCTCATTTCTTCTCTCTCAGGAGTGTGTGTGTGTGTGTGTGTGTGTGTGTGTGTGTGCTTGTGTATCTATATGTGTCCATTTAAATCATAATTCATAGTGATAGATAGCTCCGATTCAAGCATTTCATGATGGGAATTTAATTTTGTTAGATTATATTCTTGAATGTCTCTTATCTAACCTTAAAAATTGTAGCAGATGATAACATTGGTCTAATCCTATAAAACATATCAGATAATTTCAAAATAACAGTACAGATTTATCACCAGAGTAAGACTTATGACTGGGTGGTGGCGGTGCACACTTTTAATCCCAGCTCTCGGGAGGCAGAGGCAAGCGGATCTCTGTGAGTTCAAAGCCAGCCTGGTCTACAAAGCAAGTTCCAGAACAGGCTCCAAAGCTACAGAGAAACCCTATCTTGAAGAAAAAAAAAATAAGACCTATGAATCCAGACACGGTCACATACATGGAATCCTGACACTGACACTTAGGAAATGGAGGGAGAAAGTTAGCCAAGGCTACAAGTTTGAAGCCAGCCTGAGTTATATGAGACTCTGTCTCAAAAAGCATGCCCGAATACACACGTGCACGCACATACACACACACACACACACACACACACGGGGGGGGGGAGTGGGCTAACTAGATGAACTAGCAGATAAAGCGTTTGTATAAGTCTGATGACCTGGGTTTGTCATCTCATATGAATCTGGGCGTTAACTTCACAAGGATGTCTGACCTTCAGACATGCATACCGTGACATGTGCATGACTATATCCATCATATATACACAATAATAATAAATAAAAACATTTAAAGGCAAAATAAAGTGAGAGAGCTAGGAAAATGACTCATCCAGTGAACTGTCTGCTGTACAATCATGAGGACCCGAGTGCTCCCAGACCTTTTAAAAACCTGGGCGTGCCAAAGTGTATATACACATGAACACAACACACACAGGTTAAAAAAGAAAGGAAGGAAGGAAGGAAGGAAGGAAGGAAGGAAGGAAGGAAGGAAGAAAGAAAGAAAGAAAGAAAGAAAGAAAGAAAGAAAGAAAGAAAGACAGGCTGCTGGGTGAAGTCTGAAATTTCTTTTAACACTTTCCCAAGAACAAAGAATCAAAACACAGGTATAAAATTCTTTAATGAGGCCAGCACCACACACCTTGAATTCTAGCACTTGGGAGGCAGAGGCAGGCAAATCTCTGTGAGTTTGAGGCCAGCCTGGTCTACAGAGTGAGCTCCAGGACAGCCAGGACTACATAATAAGACCTTACCATTAGGAAAAAATCAAAACATACAAACAAGTAATAAAACAAAAAGCTTTTGATGCCGTCGTATGTATTTAGGTGATGTTTATTTGTGTGTGTGTGTGTGTGTGTGTGTGTGCGTTCATGTGTGTATGTGTGTGTTTAACCAGGTTGACGTATAGTCTTCATTTGTATTGGTTTGAAGTGTTTTGGTTTTTTTATTTGTTTGTTTGAAACAGTCTTACTTCATAGCTCAGGCTAGCTTGTGATCCTCTGCCTCAGCCTCCCCAGAGCTAAAATGACAGGCACACATTGCCACACTTGACTGTTGCGTTTATTTCTTTCAGGTTGCTCTCAAGACTGGAAAATCATCTTTTCTCTTTTACATATAAACATATTTGTTAAGTAATTATAATATTTACATGATTCCAAAGTCAAAACTATATGTTATGCTGGAAGACTTTTTCTCCCTTCTATTTCGTCTTATGCTTGCCCCCGCTCTCTGCCTGTAGAAAGTCAGGGTAATGAGTTCTAGCCTTCCAGAGCCCTGTGACAAACATAAACAAATGCTTGCTTGTATGCATGTCCATTATTCATGTATGTTCACACCGCACTCCTTACTCAGGCCATGAAGTAAGTCATGCTGTAGACACACATCTTTCCCACTGAGTAATTTAGGAGACAGCGTATTGAAATTTGCACTCCCTTTGCACCTCTGTCTCCCTCATCTGCACTAACCTAACATTCTGTTGTGTGACTTGTTCAATCAGGCCCTAGGTCCCCACTGTCCCTGCACCCAAGTTCCCACAGTGGGGAGCTGTGAACAGAGGTGGCATTGAGGATCAGAAATAGTAGACTTTTGCTACAGCCCAACACATGCAGATGAGGCTGTTTTTCTACAACATAGCCGTTTTCTTGCTGAAACCCAATTTGTTTCCCTGTCAATGCAGATCTGGAAAGATTTGCCACATCTAAAAGCAGTGGTGATATACCAAGAACCCCTTCCAGAGAAGATGGCCAACGTGTACACGGTATGAGTAGTGAGCCCTGGGTGATTAGTGGGCCTGCCTGTGCCTGTACGGTTGACCCAGACCAGCTCCTCTGCCCTCTGTTGCCACAGATGGAAGAACTCATAGAACTGGGACAAGAAGTACCTGAGGAGGCCCTGGACGCTGTCATCGACACCCAGCAGCCCAACCAGTGCTGCGTGCTGGTCTACACATCCGGCACCACCGGAAACCCCAAGGGCGTGATGTTGAGTCAAGACAATGTAGGACAGTTGCCCAGATGGGTGGGTGGGATGACTCCGGGCTGCGGTCCTGCCTCAACAGCCTCTGGGGAAGCCTCTCTGACTGCTCAGCCTAAGGAGCTAGTTGTAGGAATGCCCACCCACTTCTGGTGTAGACAGAGCCCTGCAGAAGGGAGAGGGAAGGGAGCAGCAGGGAGGCCTGTCCCTAGAGGTCTCCAGAGCCTGTAGAAATACCTGGGAGGGCGCCTACGTCGTCTGGGAATTTCTACAGAAGTAGCCCAAGCCCCTATGGCTTCCTCCCCTCAGATCACATGGACGGCGCGGTTCGGCAGTCAGGCTGGGGACATCCAGCCAGCAGAAGTCCAGCAGGAGGTCGTAGTCAGTTACTTGCCCCTCAGCCACATTGCTGCCCAGATCTACGACCTGTGGACCGGCATCCAGTGGGGAGCCCAGGTCTGCTTTGCAGATCCCGATGCCCTAAAGGTCAGTCTGTCTTCCTGACTTCCGGCCCCATGTGTGTCCAGTGTGTAAGTCAGGACATACCCAGGTGTGTGCTTGAATCTACGGGCCCTGTGTACATCCGTAGGTTGCCGGTTCCCGGTGCAAATAGCACTCAGAGTCCTTTCAGCAACTCTTTGCCCAACCTGACTCAATTAACCAAACGAATAGGGAAGCTGATGACATTATATTAAGCCATATAAACTACCACCTTCGGTCTCAAACTCCATGAAGTCACAGTTTCCTAGAGTATGACCACAAGATGATCAAAGGGTAGCCACAGCTTCCTGCACCCCAGTCTCATAAAAATAGACCTAGTCTTTGCATCTTTATTTGAACCGTGAAGAAAAGTTCCCAGAAACTCCCTAGCCAGCTTCCCTGACCTGGTGTCTTGGTAGCGTCAACAATGTCACATGGTTAGTCCTAAAACAAACACTGCTGGGGGGAGCAACCTGCGTGTCCTTGTTTGGTTATGGTTGCTGTTGTTGTTGTTGTTGGTGGTGGTGGTGGTGGTGTGTGTGTGTGTGTGTGTGTGTGTGTGTGTCATATGCTCTTCTTCTCACCTGTGCACATACCTCTGAAGGCTAGTCAACATAGACTGGTTTCTTCTTTAATTCTCCATCTTTAAAATTATAAAATTTAAAATTTTAAAAAATTGTTTAATGGATGTATGTGCATCATGTCCACGGAGACCAGAAGAAGGCATAGAGCCCTGGAGCAGGAGTTTCAGGCAGTTGTGAGCTACTGAGGTGCTGTGGGTGCTGGGAACTGAACTCTGGTCCTCTGGAAGCGCACCAAGCACTCTCAGTTGCTGAGCTTCTCTCCCACCACCTCTACCTTATTTTTTTTTCTTTCTTTGAGACAGGCTTGCCCCTTCACTGTAGTAAATCAAGTGCAATTGTTTTAATAATGCTGAATTCAATCCTACAGATGCAGAATTTTAACCTACAATTGATATATTTTTAAATATTTATCTTATTTTATGTGTGTGAATGCTTTGCCTGCGTGCATGTATGTGTCCCTGGTACCTTCAGAGGTGAGAAGACAGAAGAGGACATTGGATCTGCTGGAACTGGAGTCGTGGGTGCTTGTGGAGCATCATGTGGGAACTGAGAACTGGACCTAGCTCCTTTGAAAAAGCAGCAAGAGCTCTAAACCACAGAGCCACCTCTCTAGACCCTAAAATTAATATTTTAAAATAAGTTTTATTTTTGCATTTATCTATCTATCTATATATATCTATTTATCTATCATCTATCTATCTATTTATTTTGAGACAAGATCTCACTGTATACCTCTGGCTGTTCTGGAACTATGTAGACCAGGCTGACTTCAAATTCACAGAGATCTGCCTGTCTCTGCCTCCTAAGATCTGGGATTAAAGGCATGAGTCACTATACCTGGCTTATTTTTTAATTTTGAGATTATAATATAATTATAACATTTCTCCTTTCCTTTCCTCCAAATTCTTCTACATATTCCTCCCTGCCCTCTTTCAAATTCATGGCCTCTTTTCTGCTACTTGTTATTGCTTGCACATAAATGTATTCCTAGATATAACTTGCTCAGTTCATATAATATCACTTTTTTGCGTGTTTTTGGGCCTGACCATTTGGCCCTGGCAAACAATTGGTGTGTCCTCCCCAGGGGGAGACCACTTCTCCCATCCCCAGCCTTCCTCAGTTGTCTGTAGTTCCTTGTGTAGGACTGTGGTCTCATGGGCATTTTCCTGTACACTCCAGTGTACCTGTTGGTGTTTCCTTTGGTCAGCTCACATGTGGGCGGTCCTGCTGGGGAGACTTTACGGATGGAGCTTCTGGCACATCTAGGAGACACAATCTCACAGAAAACCCCCTGATCCTCCAGCTCTACAGTCTGTCCGCCCCCTCTTCTGCAGTGTTCCTACGCCTTGACTGTGAACGTGCTTTGTAGATGGATCTGTCGGGACTGGGCTGGTTTTCTGTAGTGGTTCTGTCTATTGCAAAGAGAAGGTTCCTGGATAAGGAGTGAAGGCAAGACTTCTCTGTGGGTATAAGGACAAATCCTTACAGATTGTTGTTAGGGATTATGCTGCTTTAGTGAATTAGGGCTTGCGGAATCTCCTCAAATAACCATAACGAGGCTTCCAGTTAACTGGGATACCAGGCATGGCATCTCTCTCATTAAGTACAGTTAAAGAGCTGCTGTTGGTTACTATCAAAATATGCACGCTGCTACTGTACCTTTAGGGTTCCGAGTCCATGCTGGTCTCTGATGTGGTCCATAGGCATCATAGCTGGGTAGGGCTAGTGGTTGCCTTCCTCCTTCGGTAGTTTGCATGGCACCTTTTGATACCATGAACGCTAGTCTTCAGGAAGGGGGCATTCAGGTCAGTTCCAGATCAGGGGTTTCCGAGCCCTGTTGCTGAAGTATGTGCTGTCTTCAGCAACAGGAATTCACTTTCCATCTCCGAGTGGGTAACCAAGGGCAATAACAATAGGCTGTATTTTGGGAGTCTCTTGGACAGCCCTGGCCAACAACTGTAAAGAAGGCTTCTCATGTCCGGTATTTGGGTTTTGTGTTGGATGAGAAAAGTTTATTAAAACTATATGTTTATTTGTACATGGAATGGTGTATTGCATTTTGGATGACTAGCTCACAGCATGATTCATTGTGGATTTTCCAGGCATCCATGTTGTCCTGCTCCTCATCTCCTGGGTTTCCCTAGAGAGTCCATCCCTTCCCATTTCCCCAGTCGGTAACTTGTACCCTGCTGTTCACCTCTCTCTTGCTCTCAGACCCTCTGTCCTGGCAATGGTCCTGTGTTACTTTCCTGGCTTCTGTAGTTACTACAGGCTGTGTGCTCATCTGAAGATTGGGAGCAAGGTGCCTCCAGTGGGAGAGACCATGTGACATCTGTCTCCCTGCGTCTGGGCTACCTACTGCATAGGATCTTTCCTAGTTCCATCCATTTATCTTCAAAGTTTATGATTTCATTTTCCTTCATGACTGAATAAGAATGCATCTGTACACCACATTTTCTTTTTTCTTTTTCTTTTCTTCTTCTTTTTTTTTCTTTCAGTTTTTCGAGACAGGGTTTCACTGTAACTTTAAAGCCTGTCCTGGAACTTGCTATTGTAGACCAAGCTGGTCTCGAACTCACAGAAATCCACCTGCCTCTGCCTCCCAAGTGCTGGGATTAAAGGCGTGCGCCACCATCTCCCGGCTCACCACATTTTCATTATTCAGTGTTGGACACTGATGTGAGACAAGGCCTCTCACTGAGTCTGGAGTTCCCCATCTCGGCAAGAGCTTTCAGTTGCGGAGTCCCCAGGATCCACTCTTCCAGCGTGAGGTTTCGGGCATATGTGCAGTGGCCATCTTTTTCAGATGAGCCCTGAATCCAGGTCCTCATGCTTTCACAGCTGAGCCATTGCCCTAGCCCCTTTGTTTGGTTTTTAATTAATTTTAAACGTATGCTTATTTACATACACACATACATATGGTGAGAGGGAGAGAGAGGGAGAGAGAGAGAAAAACCTGGAACTCACTATGTAGATCAAGTTGGCCTGAACTCCACCTGCCTCTGCCTCCCAAGTGCTGGGATTAAAGGCATATGCCACCACATCCTTACTTATTTATCTATTTAGTTAGTTAGTTAGTTAGTTAGTTAGTTATTGTATTTGTAGAGAGTACTGCAGGGTCTTATGTGTCTCTAGTGTACAGTGTGTACATCAGAGGACAGCTTGTGGGGACCAGTCACATCCTTCCACCAGACAGGTTCTGAGGATGAAGCCATGTAGTCAGGTTCAGTCACAGATCCCTTGACCCACTGAACCACCCTGCTGGCCCTTGTTTTTGTCTATTTGCTTATGTTTTGTTTTATATGTCTGTTTGTCTTGATATAGACTCTTATTAGGTAGCTCAGGCTGGCTTTAACTTGCTAGGTGCCCAGCCTGGGCCTCAAACTCATAGTCCTCCTGCTTCAGCCTCCTAAGTGCTGGAACTACAAATATTCACCACAGTATGTGGCAAAATGAGGTTATCATGTTTGAATTAGACAGATGCAGAAATATCTGAGGGATCCAGGTGCTGCTCAGGCATCTGGATACAGTGGTCCGCAAGGGACACCAAAAGTTCTGCAGCAGACGAGGAGATGCAGCTGTTGAACTACACCCACCGCATGTGCACAAACTGGGTGCAAGCGTGTGCGCATCCACAGGCGCACCTGCATGGAGCATTTATACTGTGAGGCTTATGTCTGCAGACCTGGTGCCACCTCTGCTTCTTTCTGGCCTTCCCTGAGCAGGGGAGCCTGGTGAACACACTGCGGGAGGTGGAGCCCACATCCCACATGGGGGTGCCTCGTGTGTGGGAGAAGATCATGGAAGGGATCCAGGAGGTGGCGGCTCAGTCTGGCTTCATCCGGCGCAAGATGCTGCTATGGGCCATGTCAGTGACCTTGGAACAGAACCTCACTTGCCCTAGCGAGTAAGTTGGGGGCAGGAGGCCTGGGGAGGTCCAGGGCCAGCACATACACAGTAACAAGCAAGAATCTAATAGGCTGTCCTGATTCCAGAGGACTTCAGCTTGGGGAAACATAGTAGAGTGGTCTCTGTATCTGGGCTTGCACTCTGATACCATTGCAAACCTGGGGGCTTTAACTGGGAAGACTGGCTTGATTTTTTTCTTAAGAACTCACCCTCTTAGGGAGAGCTAGCTCTTGCCAACTGCTTGTCCTCGGTAGCTGACTTCCATGATATAGGCCTAGCCACCCCAGTTTTTCCAGCAGCCCATTTGACTACTCAGATAATTCCCAAATCCCTTCCACTTGCTTATTAGTATAACACTTCGTTTATTGAGGCAAAGTCTTTTTGTTTGATTGGGGTTTTTTGTTTTGTTTTGGTTTGGTTTGGTTTGGTTTTTTGTTTGTTTGTTTTCGAGACAGGATTTCTCTGTAACTTTGGAGCCTGTCCCTGGAACTAGCTCTTGTAGACCAGGCTGGCCTCAAATTTACAGAGATCCGCCTGCCTCTGCCTCCCGAGTGCTGGGATTAAAGGCGTGCACCACCACTGCCCAAGGAGACATAGTCTTAATAGGTAGCCCAGGCTAGCCTAAAGTTCAGGCCTCCCCTTCCTTGGCCTTCCAGGTGTAGGGTTATAGATGTAGACCATCACATCTGTCTCATGATTTCTTTTTAAATTCCCGCACAGTAGACATCTGGCCTTGTTTCAACATAAAAAATACTTTTCAAAGTGAGCATCCAGCTTAGTGTTAGAGTACTGACCGAGCAAGCACAAAGCTCTGGGCTCAGGTCCTTTGACCTGAAAGAGGGAAGGGCGGGGCAGAGGAGACTTCCATTATAAGAAGAAGTGTGTCTTCTGAAGCAGTGTCAGTTTTGTGACAGAGATGCAGACACACCTGTTCACCTACAGCGTCATTCACATGCACAAAAGGTGGCTGTGCAGCCAGGCCTGGGGGAAGGATGGACGGGCAGGTCTGTGATCCCAGCACTCAGGAGACTGAGGCTGGAGAATGGGCAGTTAAGGTATGCCTCGGTCACAGCGTAAGTTCAAGGCCTGAGTAAATTCATGAGACTGTCTCAAAAGAAAAATAAAAATCAAAAAGAAGGGGCTGGAGAGACGGGCTCAGCTTGTTTGACCCCATGACATGTTTGCATGTAACCTGGAGGACTCACACTTATAATCACACACAAATTCATGTTGCGTACAAGGCCAGTATCCAAACTGTTCGCAGTCCATCACAACAGACAGCTTCAATGGCCGAGTCCGGCGTGTGCTTCCGTGAGTGTCTTTGTTTTCCTTTCTGTGGACCATTCTTTCCTCTACCCCTCTCACAGTGACCTGAAGCCCTTCACAAGCAGACTGGCAGATTACCTAGTATTAGCCAAGGTCCGTCAGGCTCTGGGCTTTGCCAAGTGTCAGAAGAACTTCTACGGAGCAGCCCCCATGACTGCGGAGACACAGCGCTTCTTTCTGGGCCTTAACATCCGCCTGTACGCAGGCTATGGCCTCAGCGAGAGCACAGGCCCCCACTTCATGTCCAGCCCCTACAACTACCGACTGTACAGGTAAAGCTTGAACTTGGGACACATTGAGAGCTCACATGTCCTTGCTGACACCCTTTGGTGCCTTGGGGAACTGTCCCTCTTACTCTCCCTTCCACACTGGAGCTTTGGCCTCAAGTGACAACAGGGCCATCTCGGGCCAAGCCCCTTGCTTGCCCTCCTTCATCCAGATGGGCAGACTTTGCCACTGTGACATGTGTCCTGTGGCTGACGACACCTTAGCTGCTGAAACCAGGAGTCCCTGGTGAAGAAACCTCCTTCTTCCATTTCTCCCAGTAGGGTGGGGAATGCTAGACTGTGTCCCAGGAGAGCTGACGGACAGGCTCCCACTGGGGTGGGACTAAGAGTCAGGGCAGGCTTCTGGAAGGCAGGGAGGGCAATCAGCTCTGGGGAGGGATTTAAGAGTGGTCTGTTGTGCATTGGCAACTCCCTCTGCATCAGTATGACAGTGCTCCGGTTTTACTATTAGCAGTTTGGCCATTCATTCAAGGAAAACCCTAAGATACTAACTAAAATACAAAACCCCTCTGCTTTTAAGATGGCTCATTAGGTAAATCATTTGCCACACAATGAGAATCTGAGTTCATATCCCCTGCATGCATGTAGAAAGCCAGATGAGAGGCAGAAGCAAGTGGGCCACTGTGAGTTCAAGGCCAGCCTGGTTTGTGTAATAAGTTTCCGTTAAGGCAGAAATACATAGTGAGAACCTGTCTTTAGTGTCATGGCGCATGCCTAATCCTAATGCCTGGGATATGGAGACAGAAAGATCTCTAGAGTTCTCTGACTGGTCACTCTCAAATTGCTGAGTCCCTGTTTCAACCAGCAATCATGTCCAAAAAAAAAAAAAAAATCAAGTTGACCTCTGGCTTATACACACACACACACACACACACACACACACACACTCGCACACACACACACACACACACAGTCCCACACAATTACTTTTAAGTCTTAAAAAGCAATCCTGAGAGGGGACCCCTGCCACCAGTGAAGATGGAGAAGTTGGAGATCCCAGAGAGCCTCAGCAGGGGCTGACCTACAACTTTCTCCACCCTTGTCTCTCTCATCACCAGCTCTGGCAAGTTGATCCCTGGCTGCCGGGTGAAGCTGGTGAATCAGGATGCCGACGGCATTGGTGAGATCTGCCTGTGGGGCCGCACCATCTTCATGGGCTATCTGAACATGGAGGAAAAAACATGTGAGGCCATTGACTCGGAAGGCTGGCTACACACGGGTGACATGGGCCGTCTGGATTCTGATGGCTTCCTCTACATCACTGGGCGCCTCAAAGGTGAGCACCCCTGCCCTGGGGCAGATGGGGATCGGGGGCACAACGAGGGCAGAAATAAGTCTGCTCGAACGCCCTTTGTTGCCATTGCCAGCCCTGAACCCTCCATGAGTGTTATGTGCCTCTACCAGCATCAGCTCTGGGGCGAGTACTTTCACAAATTAAATAAGGACGCCCAGCGAAGTTATGTAGCTACTTCAGGGTCACATAGATAGTGAATGGGAGACCTGGGATTTACTTCCCCAGATGAAACAAGACAAGCCTCCAGGAGACTCCAAGGCATAAGGATTATGCATTTTTATGTAGAAACACAAAATGTGACAGAGAGAAGGGTAGAGTGGATACAAAATTTGAAATAAAACATGAAACTTCAAAGGCAGAGAAAGGGAAGTTATAGAAACTCCTCCATGAAAAGACGTTTGTGTAGTACCGTAGCCCCCCGGTGGCAATCCCACTCATTCCGGAGCTTACACAGGCAGGGGTGCAGCTCAACCTAGGTTCCAAGGAGGCTCTGGTCTTCTGTGGATGCCGGAGGTGGCACGGGTTGAGTTGTACAGGCCAGTGAGCCTCAGCGGTAAAACCCTGGCCCTGGAGCAGCAGGTAGCTGCTATGGGGACTGTGCTCGCTTGCGCCACCTAGTGTTCACTTTTGTAATGACAAATGCGGAAACCCGCATTCTAGCCCTGGGAGGAACAGCCATGATTTTAGACCGTTTGGTGAACGTGGTTTTCGATACAAATCCGGATACCTTCTCTCCAAAAACATACAATTAGGCCAGTACCACCAAAACTGCCCTTTCCTCACTGTCCCTCAGCACCACCTTTCTCATCTGCCAAGTGACTGTTCATGAGCCAGCGTCGGAACAGTTCTGTTTCACGGCACAATCTCCCCCTGAGTAGCTTTAGGGGCAGGGGATTGGGAGGGGGGGCGCTGGTGTCTGCTTCTGTGGTTCTACAGCCATGAACTTCCTCTCCACGGTGACTGGACATTTGCCTGTGGATTACATTGGGTTCACTGCGCAAGTATATCCAGTAGATTGGCTTAAATGATGACTTTTATCTCGTTGGAGTTGTAGATTAGGTTTGTGAGGTTGTACGTCTTTCGGAGTTGAGTCTGCCAGCCCCTAAATGTGCTGTCTCTCCCCTCTCTGGTTACTAATATCTTCTGACTTTTCTCTCAACAGTGTATTCTAGTGTTCAGTATAGAGGTTTTTTTTTTTTTCATCCCTTCACTAATATTCTCTTGGATAATTTTATTTGTGTGCAATTTTAAGTAATGGCATTTAACATTTTTTGTTTCTCAATTTGTTTGTTGCTGAGATACAGAATGCAATTACCTGTTTTTTTTATATATTGGTCTTGGGTCAAATGATCTTTTCCTTATTCTAGGGATTGAATACAGGTACTTGAGCAGGCTTGGAGAGAACCCTGCTACTGACCTACCGCCCAAACTCTTGCGTTTTTGCCTGAGAACAGGGTCATGCTATCGCCTAGGCTGGCCTCAAACTTTTAATCCTTGTGCCTTAAGCTCGCCAAGTAGCTGAGCTTGCGAATGTTCCCAGGCCTGCTTCAAATGACCTTAGCGAGTTCACAGAGTAGTTGTCCTGGAGTCCTGTGTTTCTTTTGTTGCCATTCGCTCATTTGTTGGTTCGTTTGTTCAACAGGGTTTTGCCAGGTAGTCCAAACTGGCCTAGCACTCACAGCAATCCTTCTGCCTCAGCCTCCTGAGGAAAGGGATCACAGATTTTGTGTCACATGCATGACCACTATTTATTCTTTTGAAGTTCTGGGGAATGAAACCAAGACGTTGCCCGCAGCCGGCAAGTGCTCTCTCACCACCGCGCTGCCTCTCCAACCCTCTCGCTAGGTCTAGCATGTGTGCCCTTTTGAATTTCCTATGGACGAAATCACATCATCTGTACATAGTGGCAATTTTATTCCTTCCTTTTCACTCATCATCATCGCTATTATTATTATTATTATTATTATTATTATTATTATTATTATTGCATTCTCACCCAGGCTAGGAAAACCTTTTCTTTCACAGTGGTGGACAGAAATGGCAATAGTTGGGCTAGGTTAGACCCCGATCACCAGGCATGAAAAGAACAGAGGAACATTGCGTGATCGAGGCAGTTCCTGATTTGTTCCTGATCTCAGCAGAACAGCTTCAACATTTAAAAGACGTTTCCTAATTCTAACATTTTTCTTTGCATGTGCACACAGGTGCACACATGCCATGACTCATGAGGAAGGCTGAGGTCAACTTTCAGCAGTCAGTGTTTCCCTTCCGCCTTATTGAAGTGGGGCCTCTCTTACTTTTGCTGCCCTGCATACTCTAGGCTAGCTACCCATGGACTTCTGGGACAATTCCCTTATCTCCACCTCCCACCTTACTGTAGGAGCACTGGGATGACAAATGTACACTACCTGATTTTTCAGGGGTTCAGGGGACTCAAACTCGGGTCATCAGGCCTGCTCAGCTAGTATTTTCTTTCACCTGCCGTGCCTACCCCAGGGCCTATCCTCTATAGCTTAGTGCTAAGCATGTCTGCTACCGAGCTGTTGAAGGTATTCTTCACTAGATTTAGGAAATTCCATTCCATGTTAGCTTTGAAAATGCTGGTAGGAGTGGGGAGGGTGGGAGTGACAGAGAAAGCTGGGAATGAGGCTCACAGGAGTAGCTGTGGGCGAGGCTAGAACTGTCCACCAGGTTTCCAGAGTTTTCCTCTGCCTCCTGCTGCTCCAGCAAACCCTGATCATTTGGACTCGTGTGGATTCCTCTCTGGCCAGTTCATCCCCTTGAGAACTGTCATGCCCTCAATCACTGGAATATTCTAAAACATTGCCCAGGAGTTCTCAGTGCTTGCCGTCTGCCGGGAGGCCTTGCGGCCATTGATCCCGAGCCCTCTTTGCCCTGGTTGACTCACCGCCTCCATCCCCAAAGGCTATATGTGCTTCTATGGCTCTGCCTGTCAAACCTCTCTCCATGGGTCTCATCTGTGGACCACACGCTTCCTGTCCCCTATAGCTCCAGTGAACCGTGAACTCCTCCCAGCCAGGCCCTGTCTTGTTCTGATCTGCGCCTAATGTCAGGCTGGGCCTGTGAACCAGTGTGGCCAGTGACCGCTTTTGAATTAGATAACACAGGAGGACAGGAGACAATCCCGCACACCAGTTAAAGTGTGTTTCATGCATTTGTTTTATGTAATTTTATCCTTTTTTTTTTTTTTTCTAAAAGGCAGTGGTTTGTTTGCCCTCTGACTGGACCTAGGGAAAGAGGAACTTTTCGGCTCCTCTTGTCCTTGCCCACAGCGCTGTTCCAGCGTCTGGAAATGCAGGGAGTGTGAGAGTATAAGGAAAGGAAAGGTGTCAGAATCTTGTCCTGGGAGATGGCTCTTCCCCTGGTAGTTAGGGTTTCTGGCTGCTCTCACACCCAGCACAGGGTTCACTGGGAAGATTTTCAGTGTTTGGCTCTGTTGAGTTGATTGCCGTCTAGCCTGGAAATCTGTCATCGCTCAGGACAGAAGACCATGACCTTGAATGGTGGCTGTGGTCTTGACCTTTCCCACAGATGCCATAAATAATTAATGAAACACGCGCCCAGGGTAGGTAGAGAGCTGCAGGAGAGCTCAGAGAAGGGAGTAGTGAAAACGGGGTGGGGCAGACCGGGACGGGAGGCGGGGACAGGGGAGGGGTAGCCTGTTGATGAAGGCTGCTGAGCCACAGGTAGAAGCTGGCTGCATGGAAAGGAGAGGTCTGTCCGGAGGGAAGGTGACAAGCAGCGGCGGAGGGGGAATGTCTAAGTGTTGGGTCTCAGAACCAAACCGGGTGTAAACCTGAGGTTTGTTACTCAGCACCATGCTGGCCTCTGCTTCCTGTCTGCAGATGGCAATGAGAGAGCCCCTCATTAGAGACCGACTGTGGGAACTGAATAAAGTGCCCTGAGTAAAGCTCCGGCCTGTGTACCCCAAACCATGCACTTGGGCACAACTGGCTTATAATTGGCTGGCAGCTAGCGAGCAAAGACCTGGAGGGGGAACGTCACTGTCTGAGCAGGGGCGGAGAAAGAGGTTAAGACGCACCCTGGGATGAGCTGGTCGAGCAGAGAGGGACTTGGGCAGTAGGCTGAGGAATGGGTGACATAGTAAGCATTTGTTCTCAAGGGCTGCTGGAGGGTCGGGCCTGCTTCATGCCTCCCACAAGGGCATCGCCAGCACTGCGCTCGCTGCTCAGGCCTCTCCAGCTGTGGCCTGGGAGTGTGGTTCAGTCTGGACCTGACTTACCTCCGCAGAATTAATCATCACTGCGGGTGGGGAGAATGTGCCCCCGGTGCCCATTGAGGAGGCCGTGAAGACGGAGCTGCCCATCATCAGTAGTGCCATGCTGATAGGGGACCAGAGGAAGTTCCTGTCCATGCTGCTGACTCTGAAGGTATGTCAAGGGCCCCGGCTCTGGAGGAGTATGTAGCAGGAGGGTGGTCTGAGGTGTAGCCCAAGGTGCTCCTGGCATTCACAGCTTTATCCCGCTGTCATGCAGCCACGGCTGTGCACCGCGAGGGAGGGTGGAGATTCCTCTGCCCCATGGGCTACTAAGATGATCCTTCCACTCACCAGTACATTCCAGTTTGCAAAGGTCTGGCTGCCCACCCACACGCTCAGGGCCTCAGCATCACAGCCAGGGAGGAAGACTGGCTGCTGCTGAACAGGTGCTGACATCACCAGCCAAGGCTTAACCCTCCGCCCACTGTTCATGTCCGGGACAAGCACAGCACCTTGCCCACCCTAGACACATCACTCTAAAACCGAGTCCGCAGGAATTCCCACCTTGCTCCTTGTGACATCCTCCCAAACCAAAGCTTGGTTCTGTGGGGAGGGAGAGACCCTCATCCATCTTCTTTTCAGTGCACGCTGGACCCAGAGACATCGGAGCCAACGGACAACCTGACAGAGCAAGCTGTGGAGTTCTGCCAGCGGGTGGGCAGCAGGGCCAGCACCGTATCCGAGATTGTGGGGCAGAGAGATGAGGCTGTGTATCAGGCCATCCAGGAAGGGATCCAGAGGGTGAACGCGAATGCAGCAGCCCGGCCCTACCACATCCAGAAGTGGGCCATTCTCAAACGTGACTTCTCCATTTCCGGTGGAGAACTAGGTAAAGTTTTCTTTTCACTGTTCCTGGGGCTGTGCGGGAAGGGCAACACCCGTGACAGTGGCAGTGGGGAAGTGGCCGTGTCAACAGAAGGTGTAGACAGGGCTTTGGACGGCATCTGAGCTGGGTGCCTCTGAATGTGTTTGTCTGAAAAACAGTCACTTTCAAATGCACTGGATGCAACCACCTTGAATTAGAAATACCAAGAGGAAAAATTATATCTGCCCTGAACATATGCAGTTTTTTAATCCCTTAAATAATAATCCTCACAAAATATTTACAGGGTCTTGGGTATCAAAAGTCATCTAGAGACAACTTAGAAGCATAAAGGAAGACAGGTTGGTCCTGTGCAGATACCTGTCATTTCACACATGGGGCCAAAACACTGGACTCTGGTGTTGGGATAGGGCGCTCCCGAAACCTGTGAGCACGGGATGAGTGTATTACACATGTGCCAGAACTTCTCAGTATGAACATGAAATGTTTAGCTTTGCCTTAACCATGGGACTCTGTTCTGTTGAGTGATAGATAGTGCAGCCATCAGGTACACACCATAGCCCCGCTGGCGCCAGGGCTGCAGGGAGACCACTATAGTTTGTGACATCAGCCACATGGCTGCTAAAAGGATAGAACTATCTGGGTCACAGCCCAAGCCCAGAAGAGCCTGTGGTGCAGCCCCATGTAACCAGAGGAGTCTCTCGTAGCTATCGGGCATCTTGGGGTGCTCATGGCACAGGACACTAAGCACGGCCCCTTGGTGAGACTCAAATTCACACACTTTGAAAGGAGTCACACTGTCTGCAGCAATGTTCTGCTGTGTCAGAGATGCTGGGAATATAGAACCAGATTTGTTCAAACTAAATACATGGACAACTGAATGGAAGGGGTCTTCTCCAGGCAGCTCGCAGATCATGAAGACCCTAACCTTCATGTTTTTAGTAGGGGGTTGAGTTACGCACAAAAAGAACTTTAAGTTACCCAGCACCTTAAGTTGAAAACTGATTTGAAAAGCCAGGCAGTGGTGGGCTTTTAATCCCAGCACTGCCCAGAGGCCAAGGCAGAGGCAGATGGATCTCTGTGAGTTCAAGGCCAGCCTAGTCTACAAGAGCTGGTTCCAAGACAGGCTCCAAAGCTACAGAGAAACCCTGTCTCGAAAAAAGAAAACAAAACAAACAAACAAAAGAAAACTGATTTGAGGAGGCCATTTGAGACATTGAGGTGTTATTGAGAGCTTCCTGCATCCCAACCCATCAAAACTAAGTTCATCATTATGAACTGTCACTGAAACACAGGGAGGCTTTATGTATAAGCTATTGCTGAGACAGTTACTCCCAAATGGAGGAGCTTTAAACAATAGCACGGAGCCTAGTGTGGTGGATGTGCCTGTCATCCCACAAGAGGTGAAGGCAGGAAGATCAGGAGTTTAAGGCTAGTCTCTGCTACACAGCAACTCCAGGACCAGCCTAGGCTACACAAGACCCTGTCTCAAACAAATAAATAATTAAACATGCAAACAATAAACATTATCTCCTGTTGACAGAGGTTTCTGCACCGTCCGGTCCCACAGCCATTCAGTCCCAAAGAAATACACAGAGGTCTACATTAATTATAAACTGGTTGGCTTATTAGCTCATGCTTATTAACTCTTATAATTCTTGTCTGTGTTAGCCACATGGCTTAGTACCTTTTATCACCGAGGCAGTCTCATCTTGCTTCCGGTCGCCCTACCTCTACTTCATGCCTAGTTGCCCTGCCTATACTTCCTACCTGGCTACTGACCAATCAGCATTTTACTAAAGCAATACAACTGATAAATCTACAGGGTGCAAGATCATTGTCCCACAACCATCTCCATTTTCAGCCATCTCCATTTTGGTGGGCCAAGAATCGGGAGCGACTGATCCGAGGGGCCAGTCTGGGAGTTTTCCATGATACTAGTCAGAGTGGGCTGAGTGGTGGACACCTGGAGCCCAGGTGCACTGTTGCCCACTCATATATCACTCAAACCGGCTCAGCGGGGCAAGACTTCAGTTCTCGGTCAGCAGACCTCCGCACAGGCTGCCTGCATGTTCTAGCACGGCCACTGGCTTACCCAGGAATGATCTGAGAGAATGCCTGAGACTGAGGCTGTGTGTGATTGCTGCCATCATTTGCAGTTGGTGCTCTGCATGAACAGGCCCCACATCTATGGATCTAATCAACATCAGATCAAAAAAAATTATGTTACTATGTAGACCCCCTCCCTGATTCTTTCCGCCAATACTGGGATTGACTCTAGGACCTCCAACAAGCCAGGCAAGAGCTATCTCCCTGGTTCTTTACTTTTTAAATTTTGAGACAAAGTCTTACTAAATTGCCCAGGCTGGAGGTCTTGAACTCACTGTAGCTCAGGTAGGCCTTGAACTTGTGATCATCCTGTCTCAGCCTCCTGAGGAGCTAGGATTACAGGCCACAAAGTCCTGACTAGGCAGACATTTTTTCCCCTATTATATGAACACTAGTTTACTTACATGCCATTTGTACTGTATTTGATATTCTGAGCAGTCTAGAGATGGCTTGAAGTGTATGGATTTGCACATTTTCTAGCTTAGGTATCTGAAAAAGGTTTCAGGACTCATATCCCCATATTCTGAAAGATGGGTATGTTCATGTAAGGGAGAATCAGTTGAGGATCATGTTGGGGACACTACTTCATTATGTAATGTGGGGGGGAACAAAACCAAGTCACTTCTGCTCCTGAAAGTGGCACTCTGTCACCTCCTCTGTATCCTATTGGCTGCAGACCAACCCTAGTTCACTGTGACACAGGGAGGCTCAGGGGATAATGCTGAGGGACTCTTGCTTCAGAGGCTGGCTGCTTCTCTGGCTCACTTCCTGTCTCCTGGGTCTCCTGTGATATCTGTCTTACTTTTCTACTGCTGTGATAAAACACCATGACGAGGCAGCGTAGAAAAGCGTTAAATGGGCTTATAGTTTCAGAGGGTTGAGTCCACAATAGCAGAACAAAGGCCTGGCAGCAAAAACAGCTGAGATAACTTGAAGATAGCACAAATCTTTGAAACCTCAAGCCTACCCCATGACACACCTCCTCCAAGATCTTCTAATCCTTCACAAAGAGTTCACCAGAGTTCACCAACTGGGAATTAAGTACTCAAACCTATGAGCTTTTGGAGGCCATTTTCACTCAAATCGTATCTTCTCAAGTCATCATAGGCTTCACTCATTTCTTTCCATTTTTGTTTTAGGCCCCACCATGAAACTGAAACGGCTCACGGTTCTGGAGAAGTACAAAGATATCATCGATTCCTTTTATCAGGAGCAAAAACAGTAGTCGGGGGCCATGCTCTTGGCATCTGCTGGAGGGAGGATGGCCTGGTGTCTCCCTGCCTGGACACAGCACTGACATCTCCAATACCTTAGCCACTGCTCCTGCTCAGGTGTCAGAGAAACCGCGCTCCTTCTGAAAGAGAAGACTGTTCATTTTGGCCTCAGTCCAGGCAGACTTACAAGGTTCTAGTCCTGGGAACAGGTCTACCAGGGCTGGCTGCTGGACAGGGAAAAGGGATGACAGCCCCATTACTAATGCGTGCTGCAGAGACAGCAGTCACAGCTTGCCTAATGGCCTCACTTAACTCTGGCATCTTCTTGGACGCTAGTACCAGGCTCTCCTCCACTTTAAACACAATAGGCTTGATGCTTAACAAACTGCTTCTGCCTATGTGGCTGTATTTAATATGTAATTTTGAGTATTAAACCTTTTAACAAACCTGCAACAAGTAACCTGATGTTTTTTGTCGGTTGGGCGGGTAGAACAGAGCATGAACAGTTAACCCACGGAAGTGAGAGTTAACCATTAGTATATCATTAGCGGCCTACAATACACAAAGGTGCAAGATGGGGTCAGGTGGAACGTTCCAGTTAAAGCAGTCAACCCTATTACCACCTATTACAACAAGCTAAGCCAAAATGCCTTAAGGCACCCAAGAGGCAGAGAATGCAAACATCTCAGCAGTTTTTAAATTCTTTATTACTGTGAACCCAAAGCCACTGGTAACTAGAACAATCCAGTAAGACAGGGAAAGCAGCAGCTGAAAATACAGATTTTAAATCCGAACAAAAGCTTTAAAAATGACCCAGATGGGGAGATCTGTTGCTAGGAAATCCCCTTGTGACCTGGGTACATTATGCAAAGCCATGGGTTTGCAAACTGGTACAAGGGCTGAGGAAAGACAGCTTAACTTTGGTGTGGGCCTAAGAATAGCTTCATGCTGTGGTACAGAGGCTGTGGGGAGGGTGGGGATAGGAACCTGAGGGTCAGAAGCTGGTAACATGGGCCCCAGTCTGGGCTGAGTCAGCTCCGCCTCTGCAGTGGGGTCTTTTGTGGGTGCTACTGGGGCAGATGGCAGTGATCGGGTGTTCTGGGGGAAGTGAAGGGGCAGCTATGAAATATAAATCATAGCCAGGATCCCAGGGTCCTCGAGTACAGCTGGGAGAGGACCAGCCTTTCCAGTATCACCTGCAGCACCAGCTGGAGTGTGGCTTCCTTCCAGGGCCACACAGGAGTCATTTGCAGTGGCTGGCTCCCCAGTTGAGAGGTGAGTTCAGGGGTTCAAATGCTTTCTTACAATGTGTCTTCTGAAGAGGAATGATCTCCCTTAATTAAGAGTTCTCCCAAAAAAATAGTGAATCTCAAGGTAACAAAATAATCAAATACACAGAGCATCTGGGGCTTTAACTCAATGATTACCTATATGTTATTAACAAAATTACATCGTTCATTATATTTCTTGGAGCTTACATTTTTATTAATAATTCATGTACAGGACAAATATTTTTATTTTCCATACTGCTAAGAAATATACCATTTTTGCTGTGAACTTTCCCAAGAAATTCCTTTTGAGCCCATTTAGTTCTAGAATAATGTTATCTTGTGCGGTTGTTAAAGCCCTGTTTAATTTTCAGCACGTTTTAATAAACCAAAAACAGGGCTTTTGTTAAAAAGTTAAATATTTTCTCTTATTAATTCTGTATCATAATATTTACAGTTGAGGAAAAACTATTTTGCCTGAAGTGTAAAATGGGTAACAATGGTAAATGATACAGTTCACTTACAGTTTACAAAAAAAGGTTTACCAGACAATAAATACAACAAGCACTTGGGAAAACCCTTTGAATGTAGGCCGGGGCCATCATGTGCATCTGTTGCAAGGGTTTTGTTAAGAAAAGGCCAGATTTGAAAATGTACTCTGTCAAGAAGCAAGCAAACCAATGGCGGGCGTTCTCAAGGAGGATTACAGGGTATCCTTCTGGAGTGACTGACAGCAGCAAATCCACCTGCAGAAGTGCTAATCTAAGTCCTTTACTCGGCGACAGATTTCTTCTGTGAAGTCAGAGCACTTTGCATTGCCTCCCAGGTCTTTTGTTAAGCTCTGAGAAAAGGAAAAAGCAAAATTAAACATCCATCATCACCACACTAAATTAAATAAAGATAATTTCACTTTAAGCACTCAGTGAAATAGGAACTGAGCAAGGTACCTGCCTACTGATGTCCAAGAGAGGTTCCATTACACACTATCTACCTACCATAGGAGGCCTGGGGAAAACCCATGAGGTGTGTACCCCAAAACACTCCCAAGTCAGGCATGATGGTGCACTGCTATAATCCCAGCACTGAAAGGCTGAGGCAGGAAGATTCTTGCAAGTTCAAAGCCAGTCTAGTCTACACATCAAGTTCCAGGCCATCCAAGACTAGATAACAAGATCCTGTCTCAAAACAACTCAACACTATTTGAGAAGGTGTAGCAAAGAAACTACAGAAATGCCACTCCATTAAGGGGAATGTTTTCATTGTGAATAACAAAGAGGAAAGTATCCAGAAGCATTTGGAAGATTCCAGAGCAGAGAAAAAAAACATAGTGGACATGTCCAGGGCCATCTTTGAAAGAAGTGGGAGAGCAGCAGAGACAGCAAGAGACAGAACAGCGAGCAGCGCGAGAGGGAACACGATAGGGAGGTGGAGGCAGGGACAAAACACGGCTATCTAGGAGGAGGGAAGCCTGGGAGGTGAGAAGGGCCCCGATGCTAGTGTGAGGGCTTTGTAATGTACAGCACGGACTTTGATATGTAACCACAGAAGCACGTCACAATGGAGAGTCATATGTCCTTCCTGCCAGAGGCAAGAGAAATGACTCTTTCTGGAGAGAGAGAAAAAGTTTCACTAGTTCCCAAGAAATACTGTTTTTTTTTTCTAACCACTAAAAGTTCTTCTGTAGTCCAGCGTGAGTTCATTTCTGTATATACAGACTGCCTGAGAGCTAACAGACACCTCTCAAGGATAAAGCCTTTCTACGGAGCAAGGAGTTTTCCAGAATTTACCCTTTGTTCAAACTATTAATGGAGAATATATTGGTTGGTTATGGATAGTTAAATGAAAGCAAATCTAAGCAAAACATCTGAGGGGAAATTTTAAAGCTCAAAAAAAAATATTGTAAGACACGTTCTGATCTATTTTGGTATTTGGAGACAAATAGAATGAAAACATTTACACAGCTAACTCCTAACTTTAGGAGAAGTCTCTACCACAGTCAATCTGTTTTCTACCAACTCATTTCCTCTTCGCTGCAAACAAGTTGAATTCCCTCCCGTAGCCTAGCTACATGCTGCAGAACACCCTGAGTAAGTCAGGCATCTTTCTGCTCAGCTCTAGACTATTATTTCCCAAATACATGCTTGGTGTAAATAACAAGGTCTCATGTCCACTAAACGATGTCAGGCTATTAAAAATATGTTTGCACTCCTTGTATGTTGGCCATAAAAAGTAATTCCTAACTCTAACTTTCAGAAGGAACCAGCTTTGAGGTGATGTAGGAGGGTCTTCTATCTATCTGTTGCTTTCATTGGTTAATTAATAAAGAAACTGCTTGGCCTGATAGGCCAGAACATAGGTAGGTGGAGTAGACAGAACAGAATGCTGGGAAGAAGGGAAGTGAGGCATTCGCCATGAAGCTCCGGTCCAAGATGGACGCAGGTTAGAATCCTCCCGGTGAGCTACGACACAGATTATTAGAAAAGGGTTAATCAAGATGTGAGAATTAGTCAATGAGAGGCTGGAGATAATGGGCCAGGCAGTGTTTAAAAGAATACAATTTGTGTGTTGTTATTTTGGGTGTAAAGCTAGCTGTGTGGGAGCCGGGTGGTGGGAAACGGCTCACAGCCGCTCCTTTTCACTACATTGAGGCACTATGGTAAGATCATACTAACACCAGACTGCATACTAACACACCAGGCCAGCGGGGTGCACCTGTGCCTTTCTCTGGCTCTCATGTTTTCTGCTGTAGACTATTGCCCATCAGTGCCTCTTTACTCTTTCTGAGGAAATATTTGGATCCTCCCCCAGAAAAATGCACACATGAACACATACCTAACTGAAGTTCAATCTGGGAGTCCACGTTAAGAATTCCTGTTTAACATCAAATCTTTCAGGGCTCTATTTCCTTTCTACGAAAGAAACACCATTTGCCCAGTTTACAGTGGTCTAGATTATAGATACCTTTCCATCCTTAATAGTAGCAAAACACGCAGCCTCAATTTTGGCTGCGTGGTCAAAAAGTCCCATGTGGCGCAGCATCATCACGGCACTAAGCAGAAGGGCGGTGGGGTTGGCCATGTCCTTGCCCGCAATGTCCGGGGCTGTTCCATGAACCTATGGCAGCATAAGAAGACAGCATCAGCAGAAGGGAGACGGGAGCAGGAAGCCCTTCCTGGTCTTAGCATGTGCCCAGCATGCACCAAGTTCTGAGCTCAATCCCCAGCACCAACAAAAATGAAATGACAGTGCAGACTCCTGAAGAAGCGGAAGTCTCCGTCCTCTTTCTCTGCCACCCCCCAGATACACATGCCTATGTGAAACACGGTATGGACAATTCACGGACACATCTTAGAAATAAAGTAAAGCTGTGAAGAAAGGAAGGGCTAACTTTTGAGGGCAAAACTATGGGTGCCAATCAGGGAGACGGCTGGGTGAGGAAACACTTGCAGCACATTTTCACATCTCCACAGCCCACAGAGAAGCAGAATGTGGAACAGCAGCATCCTCATCCCAGTCTCCAATCAGGGTGAGACTGCAGTGGAGACAGTGGAATCCCAGGGAGCACGTGGACTAGTTAGCCTGCTGTTTGCAGCAGAAAAACAGATCCTGCCTCAAACAAGGTGGGAAGAACCAACTCTGACTTCCACACAAACAAGCATGGCACACACATGCCTACAGAGTATGTGTGTCTGTTTCTCTCTCTCTCTGTCACACACATACTATATACTCATACATATAAAAAATTGTGGGTCAGTAATATTTTCCAGTAGATTCTGGTAGCATCTGAAAGTGAAGGAGGCACATAAAAAGTGTCTGGCCAGACAGGCAGCCTCCTGTTTCAGTGTGAGGTTAGTCTGAGTAACAAAACTCCTCAAAATATATAAAAAAGCAGACATATCTGGAGTAAAAGAAACAAACCAGTGTTATAAAAAATAAAAGCTGTGGGACTGGAGAGATGACTCAGTCATTAAGAACACTGGCTGCTAATCCAAAGGACCCGAGTTCAATTCGCAGCATCTACATGGCAGCTCACAACTGTCTGTAGCTCTAGTTCCATGAGATCAGACGCCCTCACACAGACACAACAATACACAGAAAAAGAAAGAAGAAAGAAACCAACAAATAATCATTTACAGATAGACTGACAGATAAATTAAAAACTGGACATGGTGACACATAACTTTAATCGCAGCACTCAGGGAAACAGGTAGGTGGATCTCTGAATTTGAAGCCAGCCTAGTCTGCATAGCAAACGCTATGCCAGGCATATTTTGTCACAAAACTTAAGACAAATAAAAAACAAAGTCTAATTTCTAAGACAATGTGCAAAACTGCAGTTAAGAGCCTGTGTATAGACTACAGTGAACCCAACAATGGGGCCAAACACTATTCTCAGCTGCATAGTGCAGATATGGGCAGAGTGCTCCACGAAGCCAAGAGCTTCCCAGAGCAGGATGTAAGCTAGCTAAGGAGAGAGAGAAAGGGAGTGCGGAACAGTGAAC